CCGGTATCATGGCGGCTCCCGTAGACGGGAAGAGACAAGCGTTCGGAAGCCGGCTCCTGAGCGACCCGGCGAATGTCTTCCGCCACAATGCTTGGTAAGTGCCCGGCCGCTTGTCTCGCGGCTCCCGAGCGAGTCGGGAAGCCTGCGGCCCCTCAGAAACACCGGGCGCGCCCGGGCCGGCGACTGGGAACGCGAGGCCTCTAAGCCGGCCGTTCGGTTTTCTCAGGGACAACGTGGAGTGGTCGGAAGAGCAGGCCGCGGCGGCGGAGAAGAAAGTGCAGGAGAACAGCACCCAGCGCGTGTGCCCGGAGAGACAAGGTGGGCTCAGACGGACCCTCGGGGCACCGGCCGCCGACGCACTGCCGGCCGCGGCCGCGGCCCGGCCTCCGGGGTCCTTTGTTACTGGCCGGCTGCAGAACTCGGGATAGAACGGAGGGGGAGATGAGGCAGGCCGTGGAACACACAGCGCGAGCCTCGCCGGGTTGGGGGGTTTTAAGGTTTTCCAGGTCCTTATTTAAGGGAGGGTTAACTAACCGTTGTTTATTCTTCTGGTGACTTGTGTTATTCATCGTTTCGATGCGACTGGGAAATGTCAACCCTACAGTCTCATAATCATCTCAGATGGTGTGCTTTCTCCACGATTTATATACTTTGAGAGTTGTCATTGAAGGGTAGATTCCCTAATTGATCCGATTCTAAGTACTGTTGAGAGAGGAGGCTAATAACGGGGATTATGCACCTTCTGGGTTGATGGGGTTCAGTATTTAGGGCTTCTGCCCAGGAAAGATGTTGGAAGCAGAATGGTGATAGGCCTGACCAAAGAAAAAAGAGGCCTCTCTTGAAGTGGAAGATATATTCAATGTAGAACATCCCAGACTATGACTACACTAGTTGGTTCTGTGTCCCAATTGACAATTGAGAGTAGGAATTTGAGAGTAATGCCTATTGAAAGAGAGTCTTATACAGTAAGATTACAGTTAGAAAACATCCACCGTTTATAGTTTGACAGGCGAAATAAAGTGAAAGGAACTTATGAGTAGCATGTATCACAGTTTCCTCTTTTTTTGGGGGGGTGGGGGTGTCCGGTCGTGGGGCCTGAACTCTGGGCCTAGGTGCTGTCCCTCAGCTCTTCAGCTCAAGGCTAGCACTCTACCACTTGAGCTACAGCGCCACTTCTGGCTTTTTTGTTTTGCTTATGTGGTGCTGAGGAATCAAACCCAGGGCCCTAGGCATGCAAGGCAAGCACTCTACCACTGAGCCACCTTCCCCAGTTGCCTCTTTTTTATGGTTAAACTTCAGCCAGGGACAGTGGTGTACATGTATAGGCCCAGCTGCTTGGAAAAATCGCTTGGTCTCAGGAGTCTCCAGGCTGTCCTGGGAAACATAAAGAAGGGTATCTCAAGAAGAAAAAAGGATTGAAGATATGTCTCAACAGTAGAGTGCTTACCTAGCTTGTGTGCTGGGACCCCAGGAATGAGGGAGGAGCAAGGGAAAGAATGTTGCAAAAAGGTAAGCATTCAGTTAGTAATAGCAATGGTGAAAGTAAAAATCTTTTATTACTTTTCACTAGTATTGGCAAAGAGCAATACATTGAAATCTGAAATTGTCCTAATCACCTTAACATTTTTCTTTTTTAAAAAAAATCCTGCCAGGCACTGATAGCTCAGGCCTGTAATCCTAGCTACTTAGGACACAGATCTGAGGATAGTGGTTTGAATCCAGCCAGGGCAGTAAAGAGAGACTCTTATCTCCAATTAACCACCAGAAAACCAGAAAGTGGTGCTGTTACTCAAAGTGGTAGAGTGCTAGCCTTGAGCAAAAGTGCTCAAGGACAGTGCCCAGGCCTTGAGTTCAAGCCCCATGACCTACCCCCACCCTCCCAAAAAAAAAAATTCCATGTGTTGGTGGCTCATGCCTGTAATCCTAGCTACTCAGGAAACTGAGAGCGGATGGTGGTTTGAAGCTTGCATAGGTAGGAAAGTTCCTGAGACTCTTGAAATTCCAATTAACCACCCAAAAAAAGCCAGAAGTGTAGCAGTAGCTCAAGTGGCAGAGAGCTAGCCTTGAGCAAAAAGCTCAGGGACAGTGCCTACTTCCTAAGTTCAAGCCCCTGAACTGGCACGCACACACACGCGCGCGCACACACACAAAGAAAAAACAATCTATGTGTTCCTCCTCTCTGATTCATCAAACCCTTTTCACTTGAAGACAATTTTTTATTGTCTATTTTTCTTTTAGCCTTGTTTCCGTTTTTAGTATTTGTTAGTAATATTTAGTTCATGGCTGGACTCCACACTCTAAAGTAACCACAGACAGGAACATAGTTGAAGAGCTGCTTAAATGGTATCCATGGACTTTACATGAACAACCTAGGGGCATTTAGTTTATATTTTTTTTTAAAAAATGTTTAGGGCTGGGAAGGTGGCTCAGTGGTAGAGCGCTTGCCTTGCATGCCTGAGGCCCTGGGTTCGATTGCTCAGCACCACATAAGCAAAAAGAAAAAAGCCGGAAGTGGTGCTGTGGCTCAAGTGGTAGAGTGCTAGCCTTGAGCTGAAGAGCTGAGGGACAGTGCTCAGGCCCAGAGTTCAGGCCCCACGACTGGACCCAAAAAAAAAAAATATTTAAAGGAAGAGGAGGAATAAAAGAGAATGCTGATGATGATTTAGGGGGGAAAATTAGCTGTCTACAAATATAAAAGTATTATGCATGGCCCAAAGAAGCAGTAGACATTTTTCTTTGCCTAATTTTATATGGAAATGGGCAGGGATTGCTTACTTGTACAATTTTTCAATAGTCAAGGGCCATCTAAAGGTGTGGAAAGATAATGATAGGTAATAAGTTCACTGTCTAATAGTTCAAGCAAAAACTAAGCTTCCCTATTCACAATAGCCTAGTTATAAAAACAGCCAAATGCTCTTTGGCAGATGAGCAGATCAGTAAAATATGGTACATATGCACAATGGAATTTTATTCATCTATTAGAAAGAATTTGCTTTGTCATTTGCAGGATGGCCTAGAACAAATGATGCTAAATGAGGTTAGCCAAGCTCAGAGAGACAAATGCTATTTATCAAAATTAATTCCAGGAAATGTAAATGTGGGTTTTTTTGTTTTATGGTGGTGGTGGTGGTGGTTGTTTTAGGGGGGGAAAGGGAAGAAGGGGCAAAAAGGAAGAGAGGAAAAGCAAACATGCAATCATGCTACTCAATATATGCTGTGTGGAAAATAACCTATGTAACCTGTGGGCAGGGAAGAGAAGGAGAAAATGGGAAGGTGACAAAAGGCATGACATTGTCCCAAAAAATGAAATGTTCTCATTACCTGACTTATGAAATGATGACAGTGAAATTATATTTTAAAACATTAAGCTCTGGAAATCAGAAATAGAGAACATTTAACGTATAATAGTAACTAGCATAAATAAATCACTTCAGAAATGCCTTCAGCTCTGAGACTGCAGCTGTATTTGAATATACTTTTAGTATAAAGTTACACTGGTGAAGCAAAATAACTGACATTTGATATAAATAAAAAATGTTTTGAAACTGATTCTTAAAATTCTTTCTGAAATATTTTCAGTTGATTATGAGGTCAATGCTCATAAGTACTGGAATGACTTCTACAAAATTCATGAGAATGGATTTTTCAAAGATAGACACTGGCTATTTACCGAATTCCCTGAATTGGCGCCTAGACAAAATGAAAATTACCTGAAGGATTTGCACTTGGAGAACAAGAGGAATGAAGTTCCTGAGTGTAGAAGCAGTGACAGCGGGCCTGATTTAACAATAAAAGAACAACACAAGTGTCCTACCAGCCTTGGACATAAAATACAGAAGCCTCCTGTGGAAGAGGATGTAACTCAGAAACTCAGTCATCTGATGGTTTGTACTGATGACTTTCCTGGATCCTCAGCCACCTACCGAATACTTGAGGTAATCTTCATTTATGGTCCTTCCCAGGACCATACAGTTATTGATGCTGTCACCCTGCCTGCCAGATAGCATTAAAAAGGCTAATGATCCCAAAGTGTTCTGTTTGTTGAAACTGTCTCAATTTAACACTTAAATTTAATTGGCCTGGAATCACTTCCATTATTTGAACTGGGAAAGAAAGTACCTAGGTGGCCATGTGCCAGTAGCTCAACACCTGTAATCCTAGCTACTCAGGAGACTTGAGACTTGAGGATTGTGGTTTAAAGCCAGCTCAGTCAGAGAAGTCTATGAAACTCATCTCCAATTAACCACCAAAAAGCCAGAAGTGGAGTTCTGGCTCAAGTGGTAGATTGCTAACCTTGAGCACCAAATCTCAGGGACAGCATCTATCTAGGCCCTGAGTTCAAGCCCCAGGACCAGCACAAACCAAAAAAAAGAATAAGTACCTAGGTGGGTATTATAATGGAAATGAAACAAATAGTATACTATCAACTCCACTGGGAGCTTATTTTGGAGCTGGTTTGGCTTGGAATTGAGCTTTATGCTATGATTTGTGTCCCTGTGTGCCTTTAGACAGACACTTTAGCACTGAGCTACACCTTTGGTGCTTTGTGGTGTGATATTAGACAAGCCCCTTTCCCTCCTAGAGTACTGATACTGCTGCTGCTGCCTCTAAACCTCGATAGTTGTTAGAAGCATTGAGATAATGTATATAAAAATGGCTGAGAAAAATGGCACATAGCAAAGGTGGCCTGAGCACTGTCCCTGAGCTTTTGAACCTCAGCTCCGTTTCCAGTTTTTCGGTAGACAGAAGTTTGGGAGGCCAATATTTGGAGATAAAAATGTCAGAGACTTGGGCTGGGAAGGTGGCTCAGTGGTAGAGTGCTTGCCTTGCATGCATAAGGCCCTGAGTTCGATTCCTCAGCACCACATAAGCAAAAAGAAAAAAGCCGAAAGTGGTGCTGTGGCTCAAGTGGCAGAGTGCTAGCCTTGAGCTGAAGAGCTGAGGGACAGCGCCCAGGCCTGGAGTTCTGGCCCCACGACTGGACCCAAAAAAAAAAAAAAAGTCAGGGACTAGAACTCAAGAAAGGTACTCCATGCACTTGAATCGAACCCAGTGCCTTATGCATGCAAGGCAAGCGTTCTACCACTGAGCCACCTTCCCAGCTCCCCCATGTGCTTTTTCTAGACCAACTCCTTTCTACTTTTCTGTGATACTTTAAGGCCCCTTAGGTTAAGATTAGGGACTGTCATGGCTGTTACTGAGCTCTCACTATACCTTGCCTAATACAACTAGGCAAATTTATTATGTAGATTATTAAAGGGCAGAGAGCATGGTGATGGCTATAATCTCAGTACTGCAGAGGCTGAGGTAGGATGATCATGAATTGGAGAGGCTATTGCAAGTTGAAAGCCAGCTTAAGCTACATTGTGAAAGAGTTTAATGTTGGACTGGTAATGTGGCTTAGTGGTAGAGTGCTTGCCTACCATACATGAAGGCCTGGGTCCAACTCCTCAGTACCACGTAAACAGAAAAAGCTGGAAATGTCACTTTGGCTCTAGTGGTAGAGTGCTAGCTTTGAGCAAAAGAAGCTCAGGGACAGTGCCCAAGTCCTGAGTTCAGGCTCCAGGACTGGCAAAAAAAAAAAAAAGTTTAATGTTAATAGCTTCTGTGATTAATAGTTCATTTCTATCTGCAGGTTGGTTGTGGTGTGGGAAACACAGTCTTTCCAATCTTACAAACTAACAGGTAAGAATGTTGTCAGGTTTATCTATGAGAGAAAAAAAAGTTTCCTAAGACTAGGACTCAAACTTGGTATCTGATGCTGTATGCTCATTGGTAGGCACCCTACCCTCTGAGTCACACCTCCAACCCCAGGGATCTGTTTTTCAAAACAATTGTCAAAACTATAATCTAGAGGCATTGATTATATTATGAAGGATTTCTATAATCTGCATGATCCAATGTAGTTTAATTTGTTATCATGGAAATTAATGAAACTTAAAATCTGCTACGATGTTGTATGCCTTCCTCTGAGGTGCATGAAACATGTTTGTGCGCTGTTTCTCCTCTCTCCTGAGCTCTTTTAGAACAGTCAGTGACTAAGCTGTCATTGCCCCCATGGTAGAGGACAGCTGTGACCTACATGAAAGTGTGTCCAATTCTGATGACAGCACACTGCTTCTGTAAATCACACACAGCTCCCTGCTGATTCCAAATATTGGGGAGATTTCCCCACATTGACCAATTCTCTAGCCCTAGCTTGGTGTTCTGTAAATACAGTTACGAGATTTTCCACCTGGTTTGAACATTCCAGTCATACATGCTAAGGGCTCAGTCCTACTTAAGAGGCTAATTGGCCGGGCGCTGGTGGCTCACACCTATAATCCTAGCTACTCAGGAGGCTGAGATCTGAGGATCACCAATCAAAGTCAGCCCAGGCAAGGAAAGTCCCTGAGACTCTTATCTCCAATAAATCACTAGAAAATCAGAAGCTGCGCTGTGGCTCAAGCTGTGGCTCAAGCGGTAGATCGCTCGCCTTGCACTGAAGAGCTGAGGGACAGCGCCCAAGCCCAGAGTTCAAGCCCTACGACCGACCAAAAAAAAAGAGGCTAATTGCAAATAGAGGCCTCCCAGACTTCTATCTATGAGGGGTCACATACCCTTCCTTGGGTTGTATAATTTCCTAGAGTGCTCAGAAGTAACTTACTTATAAGGATCTGTAAGGTACAGATTAAGAGATAACAGAGTGGGATATGAACATTCCTGAGCCAGCCATCAGTGCCCAGCTTGTTCTACTTTTAGTGCTATATTCTTTATATTCCACTTCAACTGACCCTCAAGAATTATAACCATTAATCATCACAACCAGTGGGTTTAAAAAAAAAAGAATGGAGATATCTTTTTCAGGATCTGATTGTGCCAATTCTTTTGCAGTGCTGGGGGTGGAATCTGGGGCCTCAAGCTTACTTGCCTAGTGCTTTACCACTGAGCTTTACCTACAGCCTACTTGTACCTCAATTTAAATGACATTCCTGCTGTTGTGCCAGTAGCTACTCAGGATGCTGAGACTTGAGGGTCACAGATAGAAGCCAACCCAAGCAGGAAAGTGTAAAACTCTTAATCTCCAATTAATCACCAAAAAGACAGAAGTGGAGCTGTTCAAGTGGTAGAACACAAAAGCTCTGGGCTCCATGTTCAAGTTCCAGGACCAATACTAAATTAAGATTATTGTGCTAATTGTTACTAGAACCCACTGCATCAATGTAAGCCATTGTTCCAGGTTTTCCTCTGCCTATGAATCAGACTTAAATTATTTTTTATTTTTTATTTATACTGTACAGAGGGGTTACAATTACATGAGCAAGACAATGAGTACATTTCTTTATATAGTTGTTTTTTTTTTTTTTGTCGGTCGTGGGGCTTGAACTCTGGGCCTGGGCGTTGTCCCTCAGCTCTTCAACTCAAGGCGAGCGCTCTACCACTTGAGCTACAGCGCCACTTCCAATGAGTACATTTCTTATCAAGCATTGTAGCCTCCTCCTTTGTTTCCCCTTTCCATCCCTTCCCATCCGTCACCCCCCCACCCAATCCTCCCCGCTTCCTCCCCTCCCCCCCCATCAAAGTTGTAAAGTTTGTTTTCGACATAAAGACTTGTACATCTCATTGTTGCAATGGGTCCACCTGTATCTCTATTTAAACAATTTGTTTTTCCCCTTCCCCTCCACAAATTATACCTACATCAAATACAGTGAAAGCAGAGGTTATACTGTGGGGGCAGGACATACAAAGCAACGAAGAAATAATCTTATAAATGTGTTAGAAACAATAGCATGAAAGAAAAAAAACATTTGAGTACATATCTTAGGGTTCATTTCTCTAACATCACCTTATCTGACCTTTTCTGCTTGAAGACTTAAATTATTTAACATAGTTTTTGAACTCCTAGACAAGAGTATGTTCTGCTGAGTGCAGGTAGCTTAAGCCTATTATCCTACTGGGACAGCTAACATAGGTGAACCATGCTTGCCTAGTGTATTCCTGGACAGGAAGCAAGGCCCTACCTCAAAAATAGGCAAAGTCAGTACTAGATGCACAGTAAATTCTAGAGTTGTTTTGTGTTTTGATGTCTTTAGAATACATACATATTTCTTAATTGCAATTTTGATAGTTATTAAGTGTATTTTTGTATTAATACCTCATGATAAGACATGCTAGACATTAGGAATTTCAGTAATAAGCACAGGGATTTTTATCTTATTCCTCTTTGTCTCTCAACATCTAGGATAATAGCCAACACATTGTGAACCCTCAATGAGTAACAAATGTGATTGATCCCTGCTTTGGTACCCCTTTCCATGTGATAGGAGCAGGTAGACAGGCACATTGTGTTCCTAGCATGGAGCCAAGTGCCAAGGTAATTCAGAGAAGGTATGGGAATGCTATATTATCAAGATTTTTAAGGGCTAAGGGTGCAGCTCAATGATAGAATGGTAGAGTACTAGCTGCACACAGGGCCCTGGGTTTCAAACTAGTACTGCAAGAAAAAAAAAAAAAAAACATATGTTGCTACTAGTAACAGTTTTTGTTTTTGTTTTTTTTGGTCAGTCCTGGGGTCTGCACTATGGGCCCGGGGGCTGTCCCTCAGCTCCTCAGTTCAAGGCTAGCACTGTGCCACTTGAGCCACAGCACCACTTCCAGCTTTTTCTGCTTATGTGGTGCTAAGGAATCAAACCCAGGGCCTCATGCATGCAAGGCAAGCACTCTACCACTGAGCTACCTTCCCCACCCCAAGTAACAGTTCTTTGAAACCATTTTCAACTCTGCCACAATAAACATAGTTTACTATGTAGCCTAATTGTTGTTTTTTCTGCTTATTTCAGTGACCCAGGACTCTTTGTTTACTGTTGTGATTTTTCATCAACAGCTATAGAACTGGTCCAGGTAAGTACAATCACCCCTATATAAAGAATTGTTACTAATTGGGGGTGGGGAGGAGAAATTAAAAATCAAGGTTACTAACTCTATTTTTATATTGTATCCTAAAAGTAAAAGATTCCCTGAAACAGCCTGGAGCTGGAATAAAGAGCCAGACATGAATGTTGAATCTCCTACTTACCAGCTGTAGAACTCAGGGCAGAGTTCTTGACCTCTCCAATCTTATGTTCTAAGGATTGAAATTAGATTTCTTCAGTAAGTGTTCTTTGAATTATAAAAAAAAAAAAACGAAAAAACTGGATGTGTAGAAGCCCAAACGATAAAGAATTATGTTGCAGAACCTAAGTATACAAAGAGTAGCCCAGGCAGCAGGAGAACTAGAACTCAGGCCTGAAAAATGTTACCACACTATGACAAGCAGTTGCTCCAAGCTATCTCTTTTTTTTTTGTCACTACAGGGCTTTAACTAAGGGCCTTCTACTTCATTGGCTGGCACACTACTACTTAGGCCATGCCTAAGCACTGCTTTTTGATGATTATTTTAGACATAGCATCTCATGGACTTGTTGTGCTAGTACTAGGGCTTGAACTCAGGTCTTGATGATATTCCTTAGTTTTTTCATTCAAGGCTGATATTCCACCAGATGAGCCACAGCTCCACTTTCAGCTTTTGTATGGTTAATTAGGGATAAGAGTCTCATAGACTTTCCTGCCTGGGCTAGTTTCAAACTGTGATGGTCCAGATCTCAGTCTTCTTAATAGCTGGGATTGCAGCCCTGTAGCCACCAGCACCCAGCTCTTCAAGTTTCTTGAAACAAGCTTTCTCTTAGAGGTGTTCCAAGTTTTGCACTTGTACCCAGCATGCTTCTCTCTCAATTCCAGAATCCCCAGAGTTCCTTAACTCTACCCAGCTGATAAACTTGCTTGCCCTATTTACTGCATGAAGGCTAATAAGAAACAAAGTCAAAGTCGCAATTTTGGAGGAAAAAAGTGGGGTATGGAATATGCTCTAGGGTATATCTATCTGTTGCCTTTATTCAGGATGCTGTTTGCACAGGAGCTTAGGAATTGCTATAGTTTGTCTTTCTGCTTATGTGGTTTTTTCCTTGTCCATCACTTGCTTTCCTGATCATTCTTCAACCCTTGGGTCTGAGAAAAGTAGAACATGTGTCAAAATAAAGAAAGAAAGTAAAGCTGGGCTTGGTGGCACATGCCTGTAATCTCAGCACTTGGGAGGCTGAGCAGGATTATGAGTTTTAAGGACCAACCTAGACTGATGAGCCTCATCTCAAAGAGAGGAAGATGTAGAGGATCTGGGCATGTTTGTTTTCATGCTAGTTTGTTTTGCTTCCTTGCTAGTAATTGTAATTCAAGTCAGGGCCTTGTACATTCCTAACCCCTTGATTTTTTTGTATAACAGTCTCTCGCTGTGTACTTTAGGCTGGCCTTGAATTTAAAATTTTGCTGCCTGTCTCTTACATACAGGGATTACAGGCAATAATATTCCATTTTTTTAGCACCAGTTAGATTCCACAAGATCTTCCCTGGGTTATTTTGACTCTTACCCTGTGAGTCCTCCTGGAAAACTTCATGATGCCAAGTGTTACGGCTCACTCCTGCAACCTACCTACTCAAAAGGCAGAGATCAGGAGAATCTTGATTTAAGACCAGCCCAGGCAAAACGTAGCCATACCTTCATTTCAACAGATCAATCAGTTGTAGTGGTATACATTTATAACCCCAGCTACAAGGGAGGCATATTTAGAAGTGTTGTGGTACCCTACCTTAAAATAAAAGGAAAACCTTGTACTGTAATGACTAAAAGTACATTCCTCTGCTGGGGGTGGCAGCTGTGACATTTAAAGGAAGATAAGCTTCTCTCCAACTCTGTTCACGTGGTCTGACCCATTGTGTCTCCACCTTTCTGCAGACAAATTCAGAATATGACCCTTCCCGCTGTTTTGCCTTTGTTCACGATCTGTGTGATGAAGATCAGCACTACCCAATGCCTAAAGAAAGTCTTGATGTCATCGTTCTGATATTTGTTCTTTCAGCAATTGTTCCAGACAAGTAAGTTTTAGGTCCCTTAGCCCAGGACCTAACAAAGATAAAGCTTTTGCCAAAGACCATGAGTTAGTGTTGTAACCTAAATAAAAGGGATTTTTGTTATGTTCTAATGGACAGAAAGACACCACACATCCATAGTCCTAGTGTGTCCACCTTCTCTTTCAGCCTCTACTATTTACTGCTGGCTCTGGGTTCTATTCTTCCTTTCACTGTCAGGAGTGTGTGGGAAAATTGCCTACTGGTAATCTCAGCTGTGAGTGCCACAGCTGTTAGAGAACATCATGATTAGCCCTTTAAATGCTTAAAGTTATTTGTTTATTTTTTTGTCGGTTGTGGAGCTTGAACTCTGGGCCTGGGCACTGTCCCTCAGCTCTTCAGCTCGAGGCTAGTGCTTTACCACTTGAGCCACAACTCCATTTCCCGTTTTCTGTGGTTTATTGGTGATAAGAGTCTTGACGGAGTTTCCTGCTCGGGCTGGCTTTGAACCTCAATGCTCAGATCTCAGCCTCCTGAGTAGCTAGGATTATAGGCGTGAGCCACCAGCACCCGGCTTGCTTAAAGTTATTAACTGCACAAATTTTACCTTGAAACTCAACAAGTATTCTCTGATGCTTAATATTTTTGTATAACAAATACAGAATTCCATAAAATCATGTTTACATAAAAAAGGAAGTTAAATACTGTACCTTTAACTGAGTGCCAGTGGCTCATGCCTGTAATCTTAACTACTCAGAAGGCTGATCTCTGAGGATTACAGTTTGGTGTCCACTTTTCTTTCAATAGCACTGAAGTGGTCTGACCTGATAGGGAGAGTGTATGATTTTGAAATTATGTTGAGAGTTTGGAACATGTATACTTAAGTTATGAATATTTAATCCTGTGCCAAGGCATCACCCTTGTATCACTATAACAAGTACCTGAGATAATTAGCTGATAAAGAGAAAAGCTTTATTTGGCTCATTTTAGAGATTCTATTTCATGGTTGGCTTTTAAGCATTTAGCAAGACAGCAGGAAGAGCATGTTACTAGAGGGTGAAAGAAAGAAGGGAACAGGGTCCTACAGTCCCCTTTGATGATATATCCCTGGTCATCCCCAGACACATCCGTAAAGAATTCCCATTAGAAGGAGTAATAATGCTCAATAGGAAATGTACTCATTACCTTACTCATGTAACTGTAACTCCTCTGTACAGTAACTTTACAATAAAAATATATATATATTAAAAGAGAGAGAGAATTCCTATTAGGTACCACCTCATAAAAGTTTCTACCATGGGGTCTGGGAAGGTGGCTCAGTGGTAAAGTGCTTGCCTTGCATGCATGAGACCCTGGGTTCAATTCCTCAGCACCACATAAGCAGAAAAGGCCAGAAGTGGTGCTGTGGCTCCAGTGGTAGAGTACAAGCCTTGAGCTGAAGAGTTAAGGGTCAGCGCCTCGTCCATAGTTCAGGCCCCACAACCGACAAAAAAAAAGTTTTTACCATGGGCGGGTGAGGCATTTGGGTGGAAGAGGTACTTTAATCAAGATATTCTGATGGGCTGGGAAGGTGGCTCAGTGGTAGAGCGATTGCCTTGCATGCATGAGGCCCTGGATTCGATTCCTCAGCACCACATAAGCAAAAAAAAAGCTGGAAGTGGTGCTGTGGCTCAAGTGGTAGAGAGCTAGCCTTGAGCTGAAGAGCTGAGGGACAGCGCCCAGGCCCAGAGTTCAGGCCTCACGACCGGACCCAAAAAAAAAAAAAAAGATATGCTGTACACACAAGAACTTTCCACCATCTCCCAAGAGTACCCAGCTGATGAATTTTAACATTTGGGTCAGTGGAGAACATTCTAGATCCAGACCGTAGCAGAGCAGTTGTAAAAGTAAGGCACTGTAGTACTTGTTTGCATCCTGATTGTATCACCATATAACTTTTTGAGGTTGTTTTATGCTGGCTACTGGGGCAGATGAATTGCTGGTGTTCCCCACAGTGGATGGTTAAGGCTCTCAGACTTCCACAGAAGCACAGGGCAAAAACAGTTGGCAATCCCAAGATCAGGAGGCTGTGGGCTAAATGAAGAATGTGGAAGCCAGGCGCTGGTGGCTCATGCCTGTAATCCTAGCTTCTCAGGAGGCTATGGGCTGAGGGTCATGGTTTGAAGCCAGTCCAAGCAGGAAAGTCCGTGAAACTCATCATCAGTAAACTACTCAGAACAAGCCGGAGGTGTTACTGTGGCTCAAGTAGTACAGTGCTAGTCTTGAGCAAAAAGGATCTCAAGGACAGTGTGCAGACCTGGGGTTCAAGCCCCATTGTTGGCACAGAAAAAAAGAATGTGGAATTTTCCCCATCACAGAGCCCTACAGTAGAACAGGTTGTCTTTGACCTATTCCCACTGAAGTGAGACAGGGGTTGCTGTTTCCATGCTGGTGTGAGGGTTTGGATGTGCTATAGGGAAAAGGAACTCTGCCCTAAGAAGGCTGATCTCATCATGCTCTACTGCCCCTCAGGATGCAAAAAGCTATCAGTAGACTGAGCAAACTTCTAAAGCCTGGAGGGATGATGCTTCTGCGAGATTATGGTCGCTATGACATGGCTCAGCTCCGATTTAAAAAAGGTACTGTGTTATTATAATCAAAATGATGGTTTTGCTGGCGGGGGATGGGGGGAATACAACAGAGGGGCACATCAGCTGTACTGGACATTGATGGAAATGAACTAAGCACCTCAAGGGCAGCAATGGGAGGGAGGGCAATGAGAGGGAAAAAGGGAACGGCTTACACTAAGCAAAAGGAAAGAAATGTACTATCACCCAACATGGAAGAAATAGTTACGTTGTCAAAGCTTATAGAATTCACAAACTTTATAGACCAAGATAACGACAATTTGCCTTGTGAAGGTCAAAATGTGTTTGTGACGTTAACTGTCACTATCCTACAATACTGTTAAAATTATGTAATCACTTAGTCTCAAAAAAAATTATTCTTTAAAAAATGATGGTTAGATGGGTCAGTAGAAAGAAGCCATAGACCATAAAACCATTATGTAAAGCCTTCGAATATTGGCAGTAGAGGGGTGATATATTTTTGAAGGACACATAATAAGGATTGTATAATCTAGGTATTCTTATTTTTGGAAATAACTACTTTAGAAGAGCTGTTTTTAGAAAGATATTTCATTACACAAATAGTTTTCAATGTGTAAAACAAGTGTCATTAAAAAATTAAAAGAGCCAGGCATCAGTGCTCACATCTAGGCACTCAAGAGGCCAAGATCTGAAGATCAAGGTTCAAAGCAACCCAGGCAGAAAAGTCCCCACGAGACCCTTACATCCACTAAACTACTCAAAAAGAAAAGCTGGAAATAGGACTGTGGCTCAAATGGGAGAGCATTAGCCTTGAGCAAAAGAAATTCAGGGACAGCTCCCAGGCCCTGAGTTCAAGCCCCAGGACAGATAAACAGACACACACACACACACACACACACACAAGTTAAAAGACAGATGGCTAGTCATTGTGGTTCAGCTACTTGGGAGGCAGAGATTGGGTAATCATACAGAGTTAGAGACTAGCCTGAACAAAAGTTCTCAAGACTCCATCTCAGCCAGTGGCTTGACAAAATGCTGTTATCCCAGAACATGGGGAAGCTCAAGTAGGATTGTAAGAGCCCAGGCAAAACCCTGCCAATGCAGCTGTGTGTGTGTAAGTGGCTCACACCTGTAGCTATTCAAGAAGCTGAAATCTGCGGGGCGGGTGCTGGTGGCTCACACCTGTAATCCTACTCGGGAGGCTGAGATTTGAAGCTCACAGGTTCAAAGCTAGTTTGGGTAGAAAGTCTGTGAGAATCTTATCTCCAGTAAACTACTGAGAAAAAGCTGGAAGTAGAGCTCTAGCTCAAGTGGTAGAGCACCAGCCCTGAGCAAAAGAGCTCAAGGACAGTGCCCAGACCCTGAGTTCAAGCTCCATGACTGATAAAAATAACAGCAATAATAATTACATGCTGAATTGTAATGCAGTAGAATTAGCAGAAGGGAAGGGGGATGTCCATGATATGAACAATAGGAAAGCTGGGCTCTGGTGGCTCACGCCTGTAATCCTAGCTACTCAGAAGGCTGAGATCTGAGGATCACGGTTCAAAGCCATCCTGGGCAGGAATCTCCAATTAACCACCAGAAAACCAGAAGTGGCGCTGTGGCTTAGGTGTTAGCTAGCCTTGAGCTGAAGAGCTAAAGGACAGCACCCAGGCCCAGAGTTCAAGCCCCACAACCAACCAAAAAAGAAAGAAGAACAATAGGACTCATCACAGGCACGAATTTGCATGTGGGCACAAGGAGAGACATGTGAGAGAGCTGTCACAAAAATGGTACTAGTGCCCAGTCAGGTTTCTCTATAGTCAGTTGTATTGCTTGGTTTTTCTTTTGACAAAATTGGAGGCCTGGGCATGGTAGTGTGTAACAGGAATGGAGGCATGATTGTGAGTATATGGACAGTGAGGGCTACATGGCCTCCCTGTCTCAAAAAGAAACTGTCATTAGCTTTATCAGAGAGAGGAAAAGTCAAAACATACTGTCTTATCAAATAATTCTATCTAGGCTGCAGACTTAAAAAGACATCTGTACTGAAATTCAGTCCCATGTTGCTGCCTGATCTTTTGTAGGTTCCACTCATGAAATCAGTGTCTTGTTGCATATTCAATTATCAAGAAGTATTTGAATCTTTCTCTTGTTTTTACCCTGTCACCCTGCAGGTCAGTGTCTGTCTGGAAATTTCTATGTGAGAGGTGATGGCACCAGAGTTTACTTCTTCACACAGGGTATGAAAAATATTATCTTTATTTTTGCTAAAAATACCTGAACTACCAAGTTGGATATGTCATCTTTGGCATATTTTTCAGAAGGAAAATCATCTGACCCTCCTGCCTTGTAGGCTGCCTTTTCCCTGCAGGCCCCTTTTCTGCCCCCTCCCCCACTATCCTGGAGCCATTCTGAACCACTTACTGTCCCCAGTCCAGCCCTACCTTGTGCTATCCTTTAGCCATAGTTTTGCCCTATCATTTTGTCCAAAATGGGAACCTACTTTTTGTTTAATGACTCATCTCTAGTACTGTTAACCTGTGCATGAGGCTGGGCTTTAGGTAGAGCTGTATCAAGGTAAGTCACTTCCCCTAAGCTTCAGGAGCTGCTTGCCTCTATTGCCTTCCCTGTCCACAGGCTGGGCCTCCATGAGAACTTGCATATTCCCCATTACTTTATTGGGTCACAGATGCTGAGTCTTTGGCTAAAGCAATGGAAGCTCTCCAGTAAAATATTGTTTTAGGGGACTGGAAAGGTGGCTCAGTGGTAGAGTGCTTTCCTTGCATGCATGAGGCCCTGGGTTCAAGTCCTCAGCACCACATAAGCAGAAAAGGCCAAAAGTGGCGCTGTAGCTCAAGTGGTAGAATGCTAGCCTTGAGCTGAAGAGCTGAGGGACAGCACCCAGGCCCAGAGTTCAGGCACAATGACTGACACAAATATATATATGTATGTATGTATGTATGTATATATATATATATATATATATATATGTATGTATGTATACCCATATATACATATATACACACATATATATACATATATGTAGTTTTAACATATTCATATGTAGATTTTTTCATATAATTTGGTGGTGTTTTTTAGGAGTGCTATTGTTATTAAAAGAGGGTCTTGCTGTGAAGCCCAGCTGCCTCAACTTCCCAAGAATTGGTATTATAGACCTGTGCCACCATTTCAGGTTGAATTTTTTCAAATAATTTAAGGTTGCTCATACAGCCTGGGCCTAAGGGATAAAAACTGACTTGTTTTTACCTTCTTAAAAACTCCTTCCCCTGGGCTGGGAAGGTGGCTCAGTGATAGAGCGCTTGCCTTGCATGCCTGAGGCCCTGGGTTCGATTCCTCAGCACCACATAAGCAAAAAAAAAAAAGCCGGAAGTGGCGCTGTGGCTCAAGTGGTAGAGCGCTAGCCTTGAGCTGAAGAGCTGAGGGATAGCGCCCAGGCCCAGAGTTGAGGCCCCACGACCGGACCCAAAAAAAAACAAAAAAACAAAACTCCTTCCCCTCAGACATCTGTAGGTTCTAGGCTGCCCTTCCAGGAAGGGTGTTTTCCCCAACCTGTCCTGAACAACTAGCTAGTAAATGCATTATCACAGCAGTCTCAGATCTGTTTTACTTGGGAAGTTAATGTAAGAAATGCATTTTCTTCAGGGGAAAATATATATCTCCTCTTTCCCACTCAGATGAGCTAGATGCACTTTTCACTACAGCGGGACTAGAAAAGGTACAAAACCTGGTGGATCGCCGACTACAAGTGAACCGAGGGAAACAGCTGACAATGTACCGGGTCTGGATCCAGTGCAAATACTGCAAGCCACTGGTGCCTGCCACCAGCTGACCAGCACCCGCTCCTGACATGACACCAGCTAAGTACATTCAGGGGTTTTTTAAGAAGAGCTTCCATAAAACAGCAGGCCCTTGATGTTGAACAGTTTAAGAATTCAAGCATCCTAAGACTTCAGAATACATAATTTGTATTTTTTATTTGTGAAGTTTATTAATATATACTTTTCTGAACTTCTTTTGTATTTTTTTTTCTTGTGTGACACCGAGACTGGGTATGTAACACTTTATGCTCATTGGCAGACACCCTACCACTGAGCCTCCCCTGTAACCCCTTTTGAATTTTCAATCTGCCTTACCATTCTATAACTAAAACTGAAGTATGGAATTGTATGGGCTTAAACTCTGGGCTTTAACACTGTCCCTGAGCTTTTTTTGCTCGAGGATAGTACTCTACCACTTGAGCCACTGCATCACTTCTGGCTTCTTCTGAATAGTTTATTGGAGATAAGAGTCTCATGGAAGCAAGGCACAGCATACTAAGCATGCCTCTACTACTGAGCTACAATCCCCAGCCATTCCTTGTTTGTAAATTCACAATTCCACTGGGTGTTAGTGACTCATGCCTGTAATCCTAGCTACTCTAGAAGCTGGGATCTGAGAATGGTGATTCAAAGCCAGCCTGGGCAGGAAAGTCTGTGAGACTCTTATCTCCAGTTAACCACCAGAAACCAGAAATGGCAGAAGTGTCACTATGGCTCAAGTGGTAGAGCATTCGCCTTGAGCTGAAGAACTGAGGAACAGTGCCCAGACCCAGAGTTCAAGCCCTGTGACCAACCAAAAAAAAAAAAAAAAGTCATGACTTTCCTTCCTGGACTGGCTTCAAACCTTAATCCTCAGATCTCAGCTTCTAAAGTAGCTAGGATTACAGGTATGAGCCACTGACACCTGGTGGAGTAAGTTACAAACACGGAATGGCTGGGATTGTAGCTCAGTAGTAGAGGCATGCTAGCATACAAAAAGCCCTGGAGGTCTGTTGCCAGCAAAGTAATAAAACCATAATAGTATCTGTGCTGTGCAGTTGCAGTTTATACATACAAAAATGACTAGAAGACTTACTAAGTCCACAAGGGAAGCAGTTTGAAAGGATTATCTGTTTTAGGATTTTTTTCTCCCTAGGAAGAACATCAAAATGTATCCTGCTGGCAAGGAGTCATAAACCTTTAATCCCAACACTGAAGGCTAAAGCATAAGATGCTATATTAACAAGACCCGGTGTCAAAGTAAATAATGTAATTCTAACTCAGGAGAGGCTTAAATCTGAGGATCACAGTTCAAAGCCAGCCCAGATAGGGAAGTCCTGAGACTCTTAACCTCCAGTTACTATAAAAACTCAGAAGGGGAGCTGTGTCTTACAGGGTAGATCACCAGCCTTGAGAAAAAAGTCCCGATGTCAGCACCCAGACCCTGAGTTCAAGCCCCAGGACTAGCACCAAAAAAAAAAAAAGTAATTGAAAAAACCATCCTGAGACTTCAGCCTGACATCTCGTATTTGGTAAGTGAATGCCAGTCCTGCAGCTTGAACTCAGGGCTTGGGCACTGACCCTGAACTTGTTTGTTTTTTTGTTGTTCAAGGGTAGCACTCTACCATTTGAGCCACAGTGCCACTTCTGGCTTTTTCTGTTTATGTGGTACTGAGGCATCGAACCCAGGACTTCATGCATGTTAGGAAGCAGTCTACCACTGAGCCACCCTCCCAGCCCATATTTTGGAGACGGGAGCTAACAAACTTGTGCCTATGCTGGCCTCAACCCTCCAGATCTCAGCTCCCTGAGTAGCAAGTATCTAGACTTGGAGAAAAGTATGATATAAGGTTGTTGCGGAAATTGTGAATTTTTTTTCTGAACTATGTACAAATAAATTGCAAGGGAATGTCTCACACACCCGTGTAATTTGTGATTTCTGTATCTAAAGACATTCTACCTCTTACGATATGGATCCTTCAAAGTAAGAACTTGGTGACATCACTGTAGTCTATAGAGTCCACTCTCTTTTCACACACAGACCCCCTTGTGTTAACACTACATCCTTATGTCTCAGTCTCCTGCAGCCTTGCTTCCTTAACCTTCACATTTGAGATTGCATTTGTAACAGTCAGCTCAGATCTTGGTTCAGGTTAGGCATTTTGGCAAAAATATCAGAAATGGTGCTATCTTCCATTGTGTTGGGTGATACAAACGCCTGTAATCACCATTTTGGTGATTTTACTTAGGTGAGATAGTATCTCCAGGTAAGTACTTTGTAGGGAGATGCTTTGAAACTTGCTTATCAAAGATTTGATTTGGTACTTGAGTATGTCACTAGTTTCTTGACTGGATTATTACTAGAATGGCCCACAGTGATTGGTTGACATTCTAGCATAAAGAAAAGCATTTGCCAGGTGCCAGTGGCTCACTCCTGTAATCCTAGCTACTCAGGAGGCTGAGATCTGAGGATTGCTGTTCAAAGCCAGCCCGGGCAGGAAAGTCCGTGAAACTCTTACCTCCAATAAACCACCAGAAAACCAGAAGTGGCACTGTAGCTCAAGTAGCCTTGAGCTGAAGAGCTGAGGGACAGCGCTCAGGCCCAGAGTTCAAGCCCCATGACCGACAAAAAAAAGAAAAAACGTTCTAAGCTAGGCACCTATAGCTCACACTTGTAATTCTAGCCGCTGAGGAGACAGATCTGAGGTTCAGGGTTCAAAGCCAGCTAGTGCAAAAAAGTCCATGAGACTCTTACCTCTTACCAGAAAGTAGCTGGAAATGGAGCTGTGGCTTAAAGTGATAGAGCACTATTCTTGAGCTGAAAAAGTTCAGAGACAGCACCCAGACCCTGAGTTCAATTCCAGGACCAGTAAAAAAAGAAGCTTTCTATTCTCCCTTTTCATTTTTCTCAAGCTAGTCTCAAACTCGGCACTCCTGGCTTCTGAGACCTTTTGACATGTATCCAAGCACTTCCAACAAAAGTTGTTCAAGGGCTGGGAAAGTGACGTAGTGGTAGAGTGCTTACCTAGCATGCATGTAGCCCTGGATTCGATTCCTCAGTACCACATACACAGAAAAAGCACAATGGGGTCGTTGACAGTAAAGGTTATTTCTACTGAAGAGAGATTTCCACATTATTTCAAAATTAAATGTATTTGTTATCTTCTACCAAATGGCCCTAGCTACACACAATACCTTGATTCCTGTTTATAGTTACTTGAATATGACTTACCATTACCTCTGTGTTTTTGTGTACTTCTCCCTGGTTAGAAAAATCTATGTCCCTTCTTTTTCACATATTTGAAGATTGTACACTTCAAAATGAGATCTTACTTGTTCATGGATGCTTTCCCTAATCTGAGCATGGTAGAGAATGACAATTATAATCACAACACTTGAGAGTCTGAGGTAGGATAATTGCAAGTTTATGTCTAGCCTGTGCTACATAACAAGACCCTGTTTCAAAAAAATAAGGGTTGGGAATGTTGCACGGTGGTAGAATGCCTAGCATGCATGAAGACCTGGGTTCGATTCCTGAGTACCATATAAACAAGAAAAGCCAGAAGTGGGGCCATGATTCAAATGGTAGAGTGCTAGCCTTGAGCAAAAGAAGTTCTGGGACAGTGCCCAGGCCCAGAGTTCAGGCCCCACAACTGACAAAAAAAAAAGTTGGGTTGGAAGTGTGGTTCAAGTAGTAGAAAGTAGTAGAATGACAGTCAAGCAAGCATGAGGCTGAGTTCAAACCCTGGTACTAGCAAAATAAAGATAGAAATATGCCGGGTGCTGGTGGCTCACACCTGTAATCCTAGCTACTCAGGGGGCTGAGATCTGAGGATTGCAGTTCAAAGCCAGCCCAGGCAGGAAAGTCAGCAAGACTCTTATCTCCAATAAACCACTCAGAAAACCCGAAGTGGTGCTGTGGCTCAGATGGTAGAGCGGAACTTGAGCTGAAGAGCTGAGGGATAGCGCTTAGGCACAGAGTTCAAGCCCCATGATCAAAAAAAAAGAAAAGAAATATCACTTTAGTGATCCAGTCTGTTTTAATGTACAGTAAACGTGTGTGTGTGTGTGTGTGTGTGTGTGTGTGTGTGTGTGTGTGTGTGTGCGCGCGCGCGTATGTGTGTGTGTGTATACCAGTCCTAGGGCCGAACTCAGGTCCTACATCCTACATGCTTTCCTGAGCTTTTGTGCTCAGTGCTAGCATTCTACCAGTTGAGACACACCTCTATTTCTGGCTTCTTCACTGTTGGAAAAGAGTTGTACAGAAGGGAAAGGACTAGAATAAACCTTGTGGTGATAGACTGGAATCAGAGGCACTGATTTGAATGGAGGTTTCAATATGTAAATAAACAGAGGTAAATGTTGTATGTATACAAATGTACACAAAGTGGCCTGGAACCAGGAACATAACAACACTGAGCACACTTGGTGCTAGCTCTTGGTTTCGTTTCTTTTGCATGGGCTGGCATTGAACCATGATCCTCCAGATTTCAGCTTCCAGAGTAGTATCTTTTGAAGTGAAGAATTGGATATATTAACATGATCCACGAAAAACCATCCTTTGGCCTGTTTACAGCATATCAAAGCAATAAGAACAGTTTTTATTCCCCTTTCTTGGCACCTGATTTGGTCTTTGAGTTTAAAAAGATGAGTCCTTTCCTGCCCTGCTCCCTTTTATTCCCTGCCATCTGCTAAGCTCTGCAACCAAGTAGAGCCAAGTAGATTGGGAAGGACTTTGCACAGAGTCGTGGTGGGCAGAAGACAGTCACATGCTCAAGGTGGAACACAGCATGACCTCTGCACACATACTGGTAGGACTCTCAGTCTGACATCTAAAGTGGTGGCAGTTTGGCTGAGGAAAGAAATTCAATGTGTGAAAAATGAGGAATGGTTTCATTTGTGACAGGTGCAGTGGAGCTAGTAGAACAAAGACATGTTCTTGAAGGCCTTGCCTAGAGTCTGGGTGTAACCTGAGTCACCCCAAGACTGCACACTGTAAACTGCAAAGGTGATTCACCTACTCTTGCCTGGTTAATCCTGAGCCTGGCCCCCGTCCATGGTCTACAATCAGCCTCCTACCTTGCTTCATATCACTTTATACCCTTGGGTTCTGGCTAGAATTTTAAGATGCTGGAAACTCAATAGGAAGACAAAACCTAATGTGTTGAGATAGCTGGCTGTCATAGTTGATTCTTGTACTTTTTCTGAAGACATT